ATATATAATTAGATGATTTCTTTATATAAATATATAAAGAAATATAATATATGAAAAGAGGAACACGTGACAGTTTAAATATGAATTGGCCATCAAAGGTCACAAGTTCCTTCTTCAGCACAAAGGTCTCAAATTTGTTCTTCAGGAATAACTGATTGCATGAACCTTGTTATTAAATTCCCTTGATGGCTCAAATTGAGATGATACACTGGTTGCAATAATAATGCCTCTGGGTACAGTCTTCAGAGGTATTGAAGGACGTTCAATAAAACTTTTGACCCCTTACACTTCAAGATTTGCTATGTCTTTGGTAAGAGGAGTGGTAAGTGTTGCAGCCAAAGGTTCTTAAACCTCCAAAGACAGCAAAGTTTTACTCCTCTACTGTAGCAGTATGGCTGAACAATCTCTTCAGTTTGGGACAGGTAACTAGTGTGTCTCTGCTTTTATTCTGGAAGGCTGAGTCACAGCTCTTGTCTTGCAGGACAGCTATGTCTGCACTGTAGTTGATGAAAAATCCACAGTTACATCAGTAAAGATCTCAACAGTACCCATCTTCGTGACATAAGCTGTTGTTCAAGTTACTGGAATTGGGATACACATGAAGATTTTCTCAAAGAAGAAAGGTTATTTCTCTGGGAACTGTGTGGTTCTTCATGGTGATATCCCTTTGTATTTCACAGTCGGGCTTCCTTCCCTACAGCTATGAGGTCCCGCACAACATGGGTTCAGTTCTAGCGAATGGAACCAGGGCTGTAGCCCTTAACATCTTTGGACATAAAGTTCAAGGGGGTATGCAGGACATGGGCATGATCTCCACAGCAGTAGTGTTCGTAGTACAGATGTTCTTGTGCCAGGTGGTGGATACACGCCCAGAAGTAGAATACATAACACTTGAAATGTTTCTAAGAACTAGTGTTATTGTAAGGTAAGTAATTATTCCTTCTTGACTGAACTGCAGGAGAAAGATAAGAAAATGTTCACACCGATACGCTCCTCCCAAAAATGTCATGCCATAAGTGAGGGCTTGCATGCATGACCATAAACGTACACGTGTTGTGTTCTCTGTTGCTTTGTGGCCTCCTTGTCCATGGTTTTGGCCCCATCTATGTTCCTCTTGCTTTTCCAACCCCTATGCTTCGTATTTCCCTCCCTTTTTCACATGCTGTATTTTCAGAACAGGAAGTGCTCCTCCAAGCAGTATGCTCCTCTTTCCTCCTATTGAAATAAAGATGGAAGGTACTTTTCCTTCCTTTTCCTGTGATTCCAACTTAACAAAAAGAAAGCTGGACTTCTCTCTGGTTTTGCTGTATTGGCTGAGTCTGGTGCTGCCTCTGCCATTTACAAGTGAACTATTCATAAGTCATTAGGACACACCACAAGAGAAGTGAGTACTGTGCCTGTGCCTAGTGGCATTTCTTGTGTGTGCACAGCTGTTTCCTCCTTTGCATCACAGCTCAAAGTTAGGGAGTGGGTAACAGAGGATGAGAGGAGACTTCGTTTTGTTTCATCTCATCCACTGAAAGATGGGAAGAATGTCCAGTTCTGCTTCTTAGCAACTTGGTTTCTAGAGAGGCCTATGTGGTTCTGGTGATACATTCCCCACACAAGTTGTAGGGCACTACAGGTTTTTGTAAATTTGCACTGCTCATCACATGCAGAGTTTCTTGTTCATCAGGGCAGTGGGTCTCTTTTGTGACAGCAGTATACTTTGTTGCCTGTCTTTACCAGCAAGACATAAAGCGAACTTAAGAAACAGAGAGAATCTCCTAAACAAGTCGAAAGAGAACTAGGATGACACTGCGGAAAGTAGAACTAACTGACAGTTTCTGCTTCCAGGGGAAAAAAAAAAAAAAAAAAAAATGGAGGGAGGAAAACTGTAAGTTCCTTACTTTCACAGGAGATCCAGCATGTGGAAATGAAGACAAGCAGAAGAAAAAATGTTGCTGCTTGTGGGTCTTTTTTTCCCATCCAGACATGAAAAGAGAAATGGCTATTTTTCCTCCTTAAAAATCTGAAAAAATAAGGAGGTTAAAAGGATGCTATGCATTTTGATAAAGTATATGAAAGGTCTGCTAAATTTTTTCAAGACTCTGTCATTTGTTGATAAGATCAGTAAATGACAAATAGGTTTTCTTAACCATATCTTGATTGATACAATAACACATTTGAAAGATCAACATATGAAGTTAGCCTGTATTACACTGTTTCACAGCACTTGTGCAGAATTTCAGGCAATTTTTACTTCTCTCTTCAAGAGTAAACGTGCTTCATGGTCAAGGAACTAATTGCTTAGTTCTGATCATTGCACAGCATTGTGTATCCACACTTCTATACACTTTGTCCAAAATATTCTGCTTTTTATTAGTAGGGTACTGTACAGGGATATCTGATAAATGAATAGTGGCAGAGTACACAACCAACTGTTGAAAAATGGGTATGGATTTAGAATCGTGGGAAAATTGGCTCAAAGTGCTTGATCTTCCATTAAACTAATAAGAAGGAACAAGACTGGAGGATCAAATAATACAGTGTGTTTTCATATTGAATTTTGACCTGTGTTGTACATTTTAAAAATATCTATGTAAACTCAGGAGAGAATACCAAAACTGCAGATTTAGGTTGACTGGAAAAAAGACAGTTTCAAGAAACATATTTGAAAAAGACTGTCTTCTCTTGTGTTGTAGTATTTCAAAGCATGAAAAAAAACGAGGATGGCAAAAAAAGGTATCTGTACTGTACTGTAGTCACCACTGTCTTACAGAAAGGTTCAGAGTGCTACTTCTGCCTCTGCATTTGTTCCTTCGTCTTTCCTTCTCTCTCCATTTGGGCTATCCAGAACTCAGGTCTACCTGCTCCCCATTGCAGTGGGATTGCTCTTACAATCTGAAAGGCACTGAATTTTCTCTCACGTAACCTGGTCCTGACTCTGTAAGATCATGACAAGTAAAGCCTTGAGTTATAAACTCTTTAGGGCAGAAATCACTTTCTTTTCTGTGCAGTAATGTGCATGCAGCTAGCTCTCAAGTAACATTCAGCATTCCTTAACCAATATCTTTGCTATGGAGAATATATCGCCATGGACACCGTTTCAATGAAACCAAAGTAAGAGTTATCTTCAGAGAGATGTGCAAGAGCAGAAAAACCTGGGGGAATTTTATTTAGAGATTGTGTGGAAGACTGGTAAATAAATAATTTTGTGCAATCACTAACAATCTTTATGGAATTCTTATTTTTCTAGAGAACTCAAATTGGCAGAGGGATAGCTTGATCTGGTCTTGACTGTCCTATAACTTGTCTAAATATATTCTCTTTTAATGTCTTTAGATGAAAAGAAAGAGAACAGATTTGCGGCTGAGCTGGATGAATATGGATCAGATACAATGAGTGAAATAAATATTGTTGGGCGGATTATCTTAAATATTTGGAGAATGATGAGAAACGAGGTAAAGTTTTTAAAAGGTTAATGTATTTGACTTGCTGGGTTTTTTCTAAATTATCATAGACTTAGTTGAAAATTTCAGGTAACTTATGTAACTTTTTATTCTTTCTTTGTACGGCTTTTCAAATAGAGCTGTCTGCCACTTGGCAAGAATGGATTTTGCATAACACTAAAATATAAAATGTAAAATACTGAAGCCCTTATCTTTCAGTAATGTTTCTTAATGATACTCATTTCACTTCTTTGTGAGTGTTGAGAACAACTTATCTCTTTTAGAAATTTGTCTCATGTGGTGCTTTTACTAAATTAAATACTTGGACTTATTTTAAGCTGTCAGACTTAGTCGTTGTTTTGCAGTTCATGACCTTACACTTAATACTGCAGTGGTTCAGTCTATAAATCTTGTTCTGACCAAATTCAGACCTGATCTTTGTGATCTACTTAATTCCGCATATTCTTTTCAATTGATAAGGGATATTCTTTCCCGGCTTATAAATAGTTAGGGACTTCTAAGTATAAATGTTTACCTTTTCAACAAAGAATGCTAATAAAAAGTTAATAAATTTAGTTGTTACAGTTTTTAAAAAGTAGATATTTCTTTGACTGTGAAAGACATCAGGCATGTTAACATGTCCTCTGTGTTTTTCTAGGTGAATCTAATGAACTACACTTTTGAAAACGTGGGCTTTCATGTTCTTCATCAACGTTTTCCTTTATTTACTTTCCGAGTTCTGTCTGATTGGTTTGATAATAACGCAGATGTCTACAGGTAATGATCTATTAATTAATTTTGTTTTTTCTTTTTAAGGCTAGATTCTTCACATTGGAGAGGTATAAGCTAAAGTCAGCATAGGAAGAAATAACCAGTTTAGCTCAGGTACTAAAACAGTCTATATCCAGCAACATGAGCTTATTTACTTGGCTGTTCTGGTGTGTTCTGTTGTGTAGTTATACCCTCAATATTTCATCTTTGTGTATTTTTCTGTTTAAAGTACAGAAAAACAAAACAAATTTTCAGTTACAGTTTCAACATATCTGAGCAGATGTACTATTTTGCAATTCTGTAAAGACTTTATTTTGTATATACTATTCATCAGAAGTACTTTTAATGAACTGTCAGGTTTCTGTTTTACTTCACAATGCATGCCAACCAAGCTAGGCTTAAAAATAGTACAAAACACTGGGCAAGATGTTAAGACAGTAACTGTAGCTGCTTAAAAATACCTTTATATGATACATATCACACTGGACTTCACTCTTCCTTGTGTGATATGAACCATTCATAACACAGAGTACTGATCTGAATGTCATTCATGACATACATATAATTTCTCTAAAAGTTAAATACTTTTCAACTAGGTGGAAACTTGGTTTAGTGCTGATATGATAGATTTATGTTCAACTGAGATATGTATTGTTAATACAGAAGGATGTTTCCACAAAAGTCCACTTGGTTAAAAACTCCATGTAAACAGATGAAGAGAAACTCGAGTTTCTGTTTCAGTAATCCTTTAGGGCAGTAAGGAGAACAGGATATAGCATGTCATTGGGGTATGCCTTAACAGGAGTTTGCACAGTCTGTGTATATCTTTAGAATATGTAAGTGTATCTTTATGTGTGCCACATTTTTGAAAGAGCCATATGAAAATGTCCTAGTGGAAATTTTATTTGCTGATTTGTAACAAGCTATCATAAAAATACATTTTTCTTAGTAGGAAGAGCAGCATTCTCCTGATCATTTGTAACAAGGTGTTCACTTTCACAGATGGAAAATGGTTGATCATTATGTTAGCCGGGTCCGTGGGAATCTCCAGTTGTTGGACAAACTGGATTTGATTGACAGAACAAGTGAAATGGCAAGACTTTTTGGCATTCAGTTCTTACATGTATTAACAAGAGGCTCCCAGGTAAGATTTAGTTTTCCTTACACTTCACAAAAGCAAGATAGTCTTTACAAAATATTTTCGTTCTTCAGGATCTTTTCGGTCAGTATAAGTATTTTCATAAGGTCACAGAAGACTGTTTTGCAGAACATGAAATTGAAACATAAAGAAAAGCAATTCAAAAGCAGTAATAATGGATTGAGTGGTTAGTCCCAGAGATTAAAAATAGCTGTTAAATATAGAGTGCCTCAAATGTAATGACAGCAGTAAATCTCTTCTACTACTGACTTTGGGAGCACTGAGTTTTTCCCCTTGAGTTGGTATTTTTCACACTTAGATGAGTCTGAAAATGAATGCTTTTTAAAACATTAAGAAATATAATTGAGCATGTTTTAGAAAGAGGAGATGGTTTTCTTCCAGGGCAGACAAAGCTGCATCGATTATGTTCTAAGTGACGTTTCCTGTGAAGCAGACCTCTGGGTGAGATTTGATGATAAGACAAGAAGGGCTCTGGCTTTATTAAGCACGTGTGTCATGCAAGATGTGTGCGGTTCTGTTGTTCTGATACGAGCACCAGAGGGAAAAGGGAGCAAGACAGAGAGAGATTTCTCTTTCTTTGAGACCCCAGCAGTCTCCAGTACTACCAAAGGCTTTCCTTGCCCAGGATCTGAGGGGCTAGACTAATGAGACTGTATTCATGGCTTCACGTGAGCCCCGAACAGCACCTGAAACGAGAGACAACTACTCTCAAGCGTCTGCTCATCTGTTGTTGTCTTCTCTCCTACCATAACTCTTCTTTCCTACCATCTTTCTGCTTTATGTCTTAATAGACATGTAGCTGAGCTGACCAGGATTGATTATTTTGCCAACTTCTGTGGACAGAAAGACTACTTAAAAACTAATGTCCTAAGCAGGCCAGCATTGCCTTCAGCCAGCCAGAAACGGGGACGTCTGAAGCTGCAGTTCCGTAACAATTCAACCCAATTTAAAAACATTGCCACCTTTTTGCCTTTGACTGCAGTGGCCTGTGTCATCTCTTGACCCAGCGTGGGTTCTTGTCTGTCTTGCTGGTACTGGCCCTGTGTTGCTGGGGGGAGCGGCACCGACGGCGGAGCCGTGCTGGCGTTCCGTAGGTAGTTGCCAGTTTAGCTCCTGATCTAGTTCACCGTGTTACCAGAGGAGTGCCGCTGTTGGAGCAAGGGAAGAGAAATGTGCAGTTGGGAACAGGGCGGTGGGACTGGCGTACTGCCAGCGTGGATGTGCTTCAGCTGCTGGGACTGCAGCCCGCAAAGGCTGTTCTGCCTGTCGTTTTCTCAAATGGCTGTGAGTGGGAGTGAGCAACAGAAACATGCTGCATTTTCTGTCCTGACTGTTCTTTTCTCTTTCCTTCAGTGCACCTATGTTTTGTTTCCATTGAAACTTTCTAGATCATGAATGTGACAGTTGCAACAGTTCCCAGTCACCTCAAATAATTTTTTTCTTCACTCACAAGAATCATCCCTACCTTTTATGAAGATACTCCTTTTCTCCTTAGCTTAAAAAGATGTTAAAATTGAATAGTATTAAGATTTCAGATACTTAAAGCTATTTTTTCCGTAGTTTTACTACTAAGTTTTACAAGACCTTTTTTAAAGGTGATTTTTTCTTTTATTTTATTAAGCTATCTTGAATACTCCATAGTAGACTAAACAAATCTAACAGGAGATGATCATAGGCATACGGATTATTAGTCAGATGATTGAAGAACTTGCTGAGAATGAGAAGGCGGGGGGGGGGAGCACAAAGAAGCAAAAAAAACTACTTTTTTTTTTTTTTGCCACATCCAGTCCCTGACCACCTCGTCACATGTCTGAGTTCATCACTGGACACAAATTAATGCACAATTGGTGCAAGGCAGCAGCAGCTTATGCTGCTGCAAAACTGCACTTCCAAACCCCAACCTGTTTGTAAGGTGGCAGGGTGTTGTTAAAGCTGTTGGTGATGTTATAAATGAACTTAAAGAAAAGTTAAATTATACCTAACCCATTCAGTACAATGATTGAATATGTAGTGCATCAGGCAGAGGGCTTTTGAATAGTGATGTAGTTGCTCACAAAGCACAGGATCTTAGGATTATATAGGATAGTTCTTTAATGTTTTGGCATTTTCAGTCCTTTGCCACCCATGTAATTTTCAGCTATTGTTTATTGTGAATGGACACAGTGAATACCTGGCTATTAGTGCTTTTAAAGCCTTAGTAAAGCATTGAATAATACATAAATAAATAGGGCTGTTTTTTTTCTCATGTTGCTACCTCCACATATGACATTTTGTGATGTCTTGAATGAGGTGAAAGTTCTTAAACTTTTTGTTGTTTATGCTTCCTGTAATACTTGTGGCATCTTCGGGGAGGAAGCATGATACGCAGCACAACGCAGCAGACTTCTGAAATCATCTGATTTGGATTCTTCCCTTGGTTCTCTTGCTGCTGAGTACATTCTAGTTACTTCTCATGGTCGAGAGCTTGGAGGCACAATTATCGGACTTATACAACTCGCAGATCATTGGTCTGTTTTCCCAAATGCTGAAATAAAATTGCTGTGCAGATTCCTGTGGAAAATGGTCATCAACTGCGTATTATGCTTTGTTTTCTTCCATGTTCTACAAGTCTAACAAAAATACAGTTTAGCAAATGCTCGTTCACTGACTGTAGCATGGCCGTCTAGCTATACTGTTGCAGCCTGTTGGATTTTTTTTTTTTTTTTAACCTGAGCTGGATGTTTATTTTTTCCATAGGAATTAAAAGTACTTGATTTTTAATGATTAGGGCTAAATGATGAGGAAATACATGGAAAAGTTCCACTATATGTGATTGGAAATATACATTAAGAGTATGGCTATTTATTTTGGAAAACTAGTTGTCCACATGTAAATTCAGGAAATGTAAGTGCATATTTACAGAGTTTTAATACACCCAGGTTTATTCTGCATTTTTGAAATTATAATGATTACATCCAAACTGTTTTGCAGTATCGTGTGGAGTCTATGATGCTGCGTATTGCAAAGCCAATGAATTATATTCCTGTGACACCCAGTATCCAGCAGCGAGCTCAAATGAAAGCCCTGCAGTGTGTCCCCTTGATAATGGAGCCAGAATCCCGCTTCTACAGCAATGCTGTTCTTGTATTAGACTTCCAGTCGTTATATCCTTCCATTGTGATAGCATACAACTACTGTTTTTCAACCTGCCTGGGACATGTTGAAAACTTAGGAAAGTAAGTTGTTATTCTTTTCTCACACACTTTGATTCTGTAGAGACTTTAGCGTCTTTTCTAAGGTACTGAGAACCCTTGGTTGTCATCGGAAACAATGGGCATGTACGAATAGCACCTTTTTCTGTTACACGATAGAGATGATAAAGATCTACCGTGTGGGTGTACATGTGTCTGTATACACACACAGACACACACATATACATATACACATCGAGACGTATTTTTAATTAAATACGGAATTAGACTCTGTTCTGTTAAAAACAAAAAAAAAGAGAAAAATAAAAAACCCAAAAAACGAACCAACCAAAAAAACCCCCACACCTCTGTATGTGCACGTGTGTACACCTGTTCCATTATTGTGGTGATGCTAGTTTTTAATATTACTTCAGAATAAGTTAAAATGTTATATAAATCCACTACCTGTTTTCAAAACTGGACTAGCATTATTCCGCTGTATGTTAATAAATTGTTGTTCTTTTTTAACAGTTGTAGTTCACTCTGGTCTTAACTATTTAAAGCAAAAAGACACAATGAGTTATTCTGCGTAGCATCTCTTACTGAGCTTAACAGTAGTTCTGTTAATTGGCAAAAAAATCTCATTGCTCATTATAATTACTTCTATAAAACAATATTTGGAAGAATGGGGAGATGTATGCAGTGATTGCTAGGTGTCACCATCAGATTTTCAGGTTTCTGATATGAAATTCCAAATTTGTAGGAAGAAAATATATGCAATGTGTTACTCGGTAAACATGCATGGTTTCCATAGGGGATTACGGTATGAGTATGTGCCTCCACTAACTCAGCATTTGGAAACAATGCATTAACACAGAACAGACTTGATAAATTATGCATGTGTTGGAATTTAGCCATTTATTACTCCTTTATTCCTTGAGCCCTTTGCATGTAGCTAAGAAATTTTAGATGATAGTATGTTTGTTTGTACCTGAGATTATAATTGTGATTCTGTCCTTGCTGACGTTAGCAGCATTTTAATGTGAGTTGATGCTTTTGCTTGATTGGGCTGTAAATGAATGAATTGTCTTCATATTTAATTTTTCTTTGTATTAGATACGATGCATTCAAATTTGGCTGTACATCTCTCAGAGTACCTCCTGACTTACTTTACCAGATTAGGCATGATATCACAGTGTCACCCAGTGGAGTAGCTTTTGTCAAGGTAATGATATTAGTGCTCTGTGACGGGTGTTCTCGCTTCCTGTGGCTGACTAGCTTAAGATCTAATTGATTTTGTAGTTTATATTTTGATGCGTTAAGAGCAGACAGAAGCAGGGAGGTTCAGTCTCTCATTTCCCAGGTCTTTTTTATATTTGTCAGAGGGCTGAACTTCTGGCAGTTCAGGAAATAAAAGATCATCTTTATGCTTTCATTTACACTAAAAGCTTATTTCATCTATAATTAAACTGTATTTCACTTGTGCAGTTTGGGGATCAAACAGTAATTATCTGTGTGTAACACTTCATTCCTCTCCTACCTTTATAGCAGAATGTTTTCCTAGAAAAAAAGTTACGGTTTGGGAGATGAAACTCCCTGACTTGCTTTCTATTGTTCTCGTTTTATTTTATGTGTACTGCTGGCTGATTTGTAATGAATTAATAAATATGGCCTGCAGCTCTCACAAATAATTAGCCGATCACCAGCATACATATATTCAATGTAAAACAAAACCATTAAGTGAAGAATATTTGCAGAATTTTTAAAAGGTAATATTCCTTTAGCATTTAACATTTGGAGAATTAACAGTTAATAAGGTTACCTAAACACTGCATTAGCAGGGCTGATGAAAACAAAGAACAAAGAGCTGTTCACCCTGCCCTTAAGAGCTTTGCCTGTGTTCTAGGTTGCTTGTAATGTTTCTGGGAAGAGCCAAACCGTAGGTGCCTAGGGCATCTTGCTAATTAATTTGTCTTCTTAACAGTGATTATCTAACAGTTCTGGGTTTTGCTTTTACTCCTAACTGTTTAGGTTGGGCTTTTTAACATGATTTTTTTTCTTTGTTCCCTTTATGGCAGCCTTCAGTAAGAAAGGGTGTGCTGCCAAGAATGCTAGAAGAAATCTTGAAGACTAGGATAATGGTGAAGCAGTCAATGAAGGCTTATAAGCATGACAAGGCTATAACTCGAATGCTTGAAGCTCGTCAGTTGGGTCTTAAATTTATAGCTAATTTTACATTTGGTTATACTGCTGCTAATTTTTCTGGAAGAATGCCATGCGCTGAGGTAAGGGTTGCAGATAAAAATGCAAAAAAGCTGTGGAAAAGACACTATTAATAAAGTATAGTCAGATAACACAGTATTATTATTTGAAACAAATTTAATCTAAATACCTTCATAAAAGCTGTTTTTATTTGTAATACTGAAAATCAGCAACTTGGGATTTATTTATGATCCTTTTTAAAAAAAAAGAAAAAAAAAGTCTTATTTTTCTTCTTCCCATAAAAGAGCATTTGGAGTTGGCATTTCTGTAGAACTCTGTCCAAAGGTAGATTGGATTACAGTGCTAATAGTGGGATTAAAATAGAACATTGTAGCTGTTTCATAGTTTTCATAAAAGAAGGAACTGACAGAATCCAAAAAATGAGAGAGATGATCCTAAGGGATCTTGTCTTGCTCCTGACACTTTTCATATGCCTAAAGAAGTTTAAATCAAATTTTCCTTTATTTTAATGCTTAATAATTTTTGATCGCTCTTCCTTTAATTCTTGCTATTTAGGGTAATATAAGCAACCTTTTTATTTATTATATGCATTTAAACCATGAAATAAAATGTATTGTCTCAATATAGTAATTTTCATAAGCAGATCAAGCAAGGTTAGACTGTGTTTACCAAGTGCTAGTATTGGGTTTTTGCAGTAGCATAAAGATTTGCAATTTATCTTTAACTTTGCAGGTTGGGGATAGCATTGTGCACAAAGCCAGAGAAACATTGGAGCGTGCTATAAAACTGGTGAACGATACAAAAAAATGGGGTGCTCACGTTGTGTATGGGGATACTGACAGGTAATTAATGGTCTGCTTCTTACAGTGTTTTGAAATCAGAGTAGTTCTTCATAGCTGTATCTTTCTTTTGTCTCAACAAAGGGAATTTATGATACTGAAAAGAGTATGTGGACCCTCTTTGGGATGTTGCTTGCTGCCTTGCAGAATATGCAAAGTAAATAATAGTTATTTTCTTGGACTTTCTTTTAGGACTTTTAGAAAGCACTTGGAGGGTTTCCTTTCTTTTGAAAATTATGTGGAACAGAAGAGGGGGGGGGAAATAGTATTTTTTCAGGTGTGAATTAATGTAAGTCTTAGTTATCTAATGAGTATTTTTGTGCCTGTTTCTGATGCCATTTTAATTTTAGAAAATAGAGTATTTATAATACAGTAGGCATTGCATGTTGATACTTACAGGAAGGCACTATTGTAAGCTTCAAAAGTGGATACAATTCAGAAGCAGCCACCAGAACATACAAAGATATGATTAGGCTGCCTGAAATACATCATATAAATATCTCCCCTTTCTCAGTCAATCTGTCATCTAAATACTAGCCATGCTCTAGGCATATCCATCTCTGGTGCCAGGTTTGGATAATTTTTCAGCCATGGGAAACAAAGCTTGTCTGGCTGTACTTCCTTAATAACTTGTGAATCCAGTGACTGATGGCAGCCAGATTTGATGGCAGACTTGAAATTTCAAAGATACCAAATTCATAGTAGCTTCACCAAAAAAAAAAAACGTTGTTGGAGAAAGGAAGTAAAATCCTGTTGCTGCCCATAGTGGGGAAAAAAGGGCGTACCCAGAGCTCTTTACAGCTCAGTCCTGGGAACTCAGGTTTTGCAGTGCCTGGGGGCAGTCACGTTCCCTGCCTCCCCAGAGAGTCCCAGTCGTGCCTTTGGCATTCCTGATCTTATACTGAACACTGAAGTTTCTCAGGTTTTTGGCTTTTCTACCTGAAGGAAGGGAAAAGAATTGATAACATCCCTGCCTTGCCACCAGGAAACTATAGCTTGTAACTTTCAGGAACTATGTTGAACAGATTTGTGCTTATTTTCTCTGTCTGATTTCTCGTAGCATGTTTGTACTCTTGAAAGGAGCCACGAAGGAGCAGTCTTTTAAGATTGGTCAAGAAATTGCTGAAGCTGTAACAGCAACAAACCCCAAACCCGTTAAACTGAAGTTTGAAAAGGTAAAAGGAAAATATTTTGCTTCAAATGCATTGGATGAAAACATTGTTACCCCCCCCCCCAAAATAAAGTGAAGATAAAAGATATTTCTGGACGCTAACATAGCATAACGATATACAACAGTTGTGTGCTGTACTGTTTCTGCAGGTATATTGCAGGCTTCTTAATGCCTCAGGCACCTTGTCAGGGGAGCACTGCAGCATGAACAAGAAAAGAAATATTCCTACTTTCACATCAGGATGCCTGCTGGCCTGTTGTGCTGGCAGCACCAGGCAACTGGAAATTCCTGTCTCATTGATTTTTGGAAATGTCCCCTCAGTTTTGTATTGTATACGTGCAAACCAATGTATGCAACTTGGTAGTGATTCCAGTGCATTAATAACAAGCCTGATATTTATTCTCCAGCCAACCTTAGCACACTTCAGGATATGTCCATGTGATACATATCCATATAAAATGAAAAATTGTAAAAACCCATTCAGTAGGCTTTTGGAAGAAGTCTTAATGACAATAAGCCTTTTATAGAAGAGCAAGACAATGTGATACTAATTTTGGTAGAAGATTATAATTGGAAAGTCATTAGCAATCAGTTCAGGTGCTCTAGATGTTTTCAAAGCACATACCTGACTCAACAGGTTCAAGCAGAATTTGTAAGCAAATTGCCATTTTTCACTGAAAATACAGTAGAAAAATATTAACAAGAAAAGTCAGGATACCTGTGGGAGGTACAGCAACTTTTCCTCACTGACTGATGACACTTCCCACTTTGAGGCAATTCTGTCATTAAGCTGAAGGAGTAATTAACCAGGAAAAAGTACTAGGTGCAAGGATATACTGCCGGAGTGCGTCACTTCAGGTGCCCTTATTCAGCTGTGGGTCAAAATACTGAGTACTCTCCTAGGGTAGCTTCCTAGCACAGGAGAGGAAAATGCCTCAAAACTGGAGCATCTGTTCAAGCAGGGGACACCCATGTGCAGGACCGTATTCAGCTTGAGGCGATCATAACTCACTGCTCCCTCTTCCACGTGAGCCAGGAAGATGTGGTGTTACCCTAGTAACAGTGGGAAGAAATTGTTCTCCAGTCTTGCATTTAATACTGATCAAGGAATACTGACACAATCAAGAATAAAATAAGAGGTTGGAGAAAACAAGCAAAAGAGACCGTGACCCTAAAAATCCATTCATGAGAAAACTGAATGCATAGGCATTTAAAAAGCATGCTTTCCCCAAGTCAAGATACTAACTGATTTTAGGCACCTCATAATTAAGATTAAGTTTGACAGTAGAAAGTTCAAAGCCACAACTTTTGCTGGGAAAGTTTTCCTCTCTGATTTTAAAATGAACTTCTCTTTTTAAGGAAGAGAGATAATAGAGTCACATGAAAAATGCTGACAGATGCAATCCAGAAAAGTAAGGGTACTCAAAACAAATTACACTGTGTCACTTTTCATCTGAGCTTCAGATTGCTTAGCCTTTACAGCTAGATGAAATCTAAAGTGATTTAAGAATGGAACACTACTGAATCCTAACTTCCTCAGCCATCCTTTAAGAGTCCTTTGATCTAGTTTATTGGTTTTAACAATGAAACAAACAAACAAAAACAACAACAAAGTATTCATTAGGAAACCCTTTAAGTTCAGAGCCACCGTATATTCCCAACACTTGCCAGATTGGGCTATCTTCTTTCTAAACATTCCAGGTCTACTTGCCATGTGTCCTGCAAACGAAAAAGAGGTACGTGGGTTACATGTATGAAACGCTGGACCAGAAGGACCCAGTATTTGACGCAAAAGGCATAGAGACTGTCCGAAGGGACTCCTGTCCTGCTGTTTCCAAGGTAAAAATACTCATGCATTTCTACCTGAATGAAATTATAGTATTGTGTTATTTCATTGTATATTTGACCTTCCTCAGAGTTTCTAGTCCTTGTGAGTTGTCTGAGACTTGGTCTGTTTTTCTGGTATAAGCCATTCGAAAGCTACATTGAAGATCTTGCACAGCATTACAAGGACTTGCACTTGCCATCTTAACTGCTATCTTTCACTCCCTAAAAACCCTATTAAAAGCCCTCAGCCCCATGTAAGTTCTCTAGAAAACCATTCTTGATCCAGTTCACTTTAACTGGAAGTAAGTATTACTCCAAGATGAATGAGGTGTACTGATGTGTCTGCTAAATAGCTCACTTACATAAACCTAGTTTAGCTAAGAATTCACTTAGAATTAACTTCGTTGCCTGTTTATTTTAAGCTGTGCATTGGAGGGTTCAAAAGAAAAGGCTCTTATTCTTAATCATGTCAAAACAAATTAATGCCAGTAAGAAAGGTAACCACTTTGGAGGATTTACTCCCATTTTTCTTTTTAATCCGAATTCTTTTGTTTGCTGAGGTGGTCAGAAAGTCATGGCAAAATATTTTAGATCATGAGGAAAAAACATCTCTTCTCATACTCTGGAAAACCTCTGTAATTGTTGAAACGGTCTTAGTGCCGGAGTATGGATAATGTCATGAAAGATGTGTGAAACTGAGGAAAAAGTTGTCCAGTAATTTGTTTATGAATGTCTTTGAGTGGAAGAGAATGCAACCTATTGTCATATTAACATTGTAGTTCACAACTGATACTTTTTCTAAGCAGTGTATTAATATTTCCATATAATTTACTGAATTATTTGGAATTAATTGTTTTTTCGTTAAACATACGTGGTTTTGTCATCTTTCTCCTTTGGTTGTAAAGATACTTGAGTGTTCTATCAAGCTGCTGTTTGAAACACGGGACATAAGTCAGATCAAACAGTACGTTCAGAATCAATGCATGAAGTTACTGGAAGGAAAAGCCAGCATGCAAGACTTCATCTTTGCAAAAGAGTACAGAGGGAGCTCAGCTTACAGACCTGGCTCCTGTGTGCCAGCCCTGGAAATCACCAGGTAATGAGATTAAGAAGTGCTAATCTTAGGTATTTTTTTTCTCTTGACCTTTGTACTGCCAAGTTACAGGTAGTAGTGAGATGTCTCCTTCAGTTACTGTTGCAGGAGTTGACTCTGACTTTCTTCTGTGTGTGAAGAGAGAGCAAGCATCAGATAGTCCTAGAAAGCCATTTCGTAGTCCTGGAAAGAACCACACGTGTTCAAGAGTAAAGTCTCCTGTCAGGACGCTGTAGTGGTGTGTTCACTGCTGTTACTTACGCTTTGGTTTTTGTACAAGGGCTTGACTCTCCAAGATTTCCCACTACTCACAGATATTAGATATGTTAAAAATTGTAATAGCGACATCCGTCATTGCTGTGAAATACATTACCAGGCATAATTTTTCATATTTTAAAAAGTAACCTTACTTAAAGTAAATATTTCTTCCTGTTGATACTGTTTATCAGTAATAGATCATGTGAGCTGGCACATTTTGCCACCTTGCTTAATATAAAAGATCTTCAAATTAACCCATGCATTTTAAATAAAATAAAATTCAAGTCCTGGATTGATGCCTGCTTCAAATTGAATTGTCCTTTGCTTTCTGAATACTTGAACTCTTTTTAGCACCCTGGCTGCTCTTTATTAAAATACTTCTTGGAGGAAGGGGTAGCTAGAAAGTAAGCTGTGTGCAAATCCAAGTGACCTGAAACAGAACATATCTTCAGGGCTTCATGTTCCAAGTTGTAAAATTTGGGTCTGATCATGAGACAAATGAAAAATGAAACGACTTGGTCCTGTGCTTCATAATAGACACTACCTTCAGTCATCTGGAGAGCTGCTAATATAATCAGATGGGGAAGTTTACAAGCAGATGGAGTATGAATTTGTGTCTGGGTGCATTGTAAAGGCTATTTTTAAACAGGAGAATGCTCGCCCATGACCGTCGCTCTGAACCACGAGTTGGGGAGCGAGTGCCCTACGTCATTGTGTACGGCATGCCCGGGCTGCCCCTGATTCAGCTGGTGAGGCGGCCCATTGAAGTCCTGCAGGATCCCAGCCTGAGGCTGAATGCTGCCTACTACATCACCAAACAGATTCTGCCGCCGCTGGCGAGGGTCTTCTCGCTTATTGGCATAGACGTCTTCAGCTGGTACCGTGAGTTGCCACGGGTGAGTGTGTGAAAACAAAGCGATTAGAAACGTGGTGCGTCTGTACAGTGTTTGGTTTTATCATGACTTTTAATGGAATGAGGTTTGTATGAGGCAACAGCAAAGGTTATTTTACAAGGCAGTGTTTGATGCCCAAACATGCAGACCCGATTCTTAGATCTTCTGTGTGGTTTTGTTTGACTTAGTAAATCAGTTTTTTCGGTCAGCCTTTCTGTGCAGGGTTGATGACACTGTCATCTTCTATTTTCTGACCCCTTCCACAGTTTAAAAGAGTGTTTTGCCATAACGGTGTCTTTTTAGCAGTACTTGTATATGCATTTATTTGGCTGTACCACCCTTTAAATCTCTCTATAGTAGATGTTGGAACTCCTGTTTTTCAAGATGTTCTGAAGATCTTCCCTCTTTATAAAAAAGGTGTTAATACCCCAGCAGCAGGAGCACTTTTTTAAGAATCTGTATCACCAGAAATTTTAAAACTAATTATATCCAAAACTGACTTTCCTAAAAGTCAAAGAAATCATTGAGATGCAGGAAGAAAAGTGTTAGATGGCTGGATTTTAGTTTGTGATTTCCCCTGACAAGAAGGGATGGTGAAAGGCAGCGTGTCCGTGTAGTTTGGTTACTCTGCTTAGCGTAGACTTCAGCAGCCTAGTAGTACATCGTGTTTCCCACTGCAGACTTTTAATTTTAACAGGGTTGACTTCAGTTCTCCTTCTTTTCTCTGCCTTTCCAATGGCACTGTAGCACTCACCTTCAGTATCTCCAACAAGCTGCTCTGAAAAGGCAAAAAGAGCCCTGACTTTCTGCAAGGCCAGGGAGCACCGAGGAGGTCACAGGGAGCAGAGGAGCTGGGTATTCGAAGCAGGAGAGCGAAGGGTGGCACGGAGCGTCAGTCGTGCAGCACCAGGAGCGAGTGCAGAGAACGAACTTCCCTGGGCGAGGGGGCAGCGGTGGAGCTTTGTCCGGGGAAATCAGAGCTTGAGCTAAATCACGGACCAAAGGACGCGGGCAGCACCCGCACGGAGACTCGAGGGGAGGCAGGGTCCGGAAGGCAGCGCTGGGGCTGCAGCCAGGGCCCGTGTGGGTGTGCAGCAGAGCAGCACCTACACAGGAACGGCTGCAGGAGTCTGAGATGAGATCAGGGATTTCACATGTGACTGAGGATTTCTTTGGTTACTCTTTGCTGGTGAGATCCCCTGTGAAACAGGTGTGGTCGGGCTCCGTTTGCTGTATCCCTTCAGGGCTAGGAGTAAGGCGAGCTGCTCTCTTGAAAGTTCATTACCTCTTAATGATTTTTTTTAACAGATTCAAAAGGCTGCTGCCTCGGCTGCCCGCAGTGAGCTAGAAGGACGCAAAGGCACAATCTCCCAGTATTTCACGACCTTACACTGTCCCGTGTGCGATGAACTGACCCAGTATGGGATCTGTAATAAATGCAGAAGCCAGCCACAGCACGTGGCAGTGATTCTCAACCAAGAAATCCGAGAGCTGGAGCGTAAGCAAGAACAGCTGGTCAAGGTACGATTAAAGCATTGTCAGATGTCTGTCAGCCAAAGGCCAGGGCCGAAATTTCCAAGCAGTGTGTTACTGAACGGCCCCAGCAGAAACGGGAAGTGCAATCCGGGTGTTAAACATGTTCCAGCTTCTTTGCTTTTCCCCTTGCTGTTGAAGGCAGCGTCACAGCTGTTGCTCTCCTTAGCTTTACGTAAAAGTGAAGGCCGAGGGGGGATCAGAGCAGAACATACTTCTCCTTTTCTTCTTTCTTTAAGAGTATCTTACACGGTTTGTAGGTGCCTTTTTATAGTGACAGTGGTAGAGAGTTGTAAAAGTATGAAAGATTCACCTTTTTTGTATTAAAATAACCGATGATGTTCTAGTAACAAAAGCATTTGTCCCAGAAAATCTATTTATTTATATGTATAACACAGTTGTGTTGTAGCTTGTTACCTTTCCTCTCGATAGGAATTTTCCAAGCTGGTTTTTTCCCCTTGAGCTAGAAGTCAATTAAGAGGGTAGGTGACTCTGCTCAGAAATATATTACAGCAAAGCACAATGCCTCCCCTTGCAGAAATACACGCGTATCCTCCCCTAATTTTCATACTGTAGTATTTTATAATTAATAAATATTTTTGTTAAAATTGATTTTTAGCACTAGCGCATGAACCATTTTAAAGACTTGTCTGGATTGCAGGGATAGAAATGTTCCTGTGGTCTGGGCATTGCTTCGATAGGTTCCCCTGGGGTGCTGTTGCTAGAAAACCGTTATAATTCACTATTCATAAATACTGCATTGCTAAGGTGTGGACTTCTGTTTCTCGCTGTATTTTTTTAATATTTGCTCTGATGTGCATTGTCAATGGCAGTAAAGAAAGGTGATGCATGCCCTGCAGTTTTCCTGTGTGCTCTGAACCTTTGATGTTGCTTTTGTTCTGGAATAAATCGGAACTTGGCAGACTGGTTCAGCCCCACAGAAGGATCACTGAGTTGGAGCGGAACATCCTCTTGTCCCTGCAACGTCCAACAGGTCGGCAAGGCCGGGGATCCTGATCTAGTCACTGTCTGATGACTCGGCTTCTCCGAAAGAACATCTGTCTTATTTTAATATGAAGACATATATAGCCCTCACAGCTTAAATTCTTGTCCCTCCTACATTATAAACGTGCTGGAGCCAGCAGAACGCTGATATAACACTCAATCGTACCTTATTTTAAAATGCACGTAAAAATTCCGTGCCATAGGTTAAGGCCATAGACTTCTCCCCTCTACACAAACTGAACTTAGAAAGTGTCTCGAGTAACATTTCCTTTGGTCCTCTGTGTTCGAATCAGCCACAGCCTCTGTCAGAAGAACTTGGGTAGGCGTATAGCTGAGGTTCTTCTCGTGGTGACAAACCTGGAACAAACCGTTTAAATCCTGATCCTTTTGGTGGTCAGGGTTGCAGGGGCGGCCTCGGGGTGCGGGGTGGGGGACTGGGCTGGGAGGGGCGGCTCCTCTCCAGCCACTGTCAGTTTGAGTGCTGACACCGGCCTGGCCGAGGGGGTCACCGGTGCCCAAGCCATTTTAACGTGGAAAGAAGGAAGAGAACTGATTCTAAAAATTTATGATTTTGATTTGTTGTTCAAACTGTGCAAACGGTAGGGTAACGTTGTGTAACATTTTGATGTTACAAAACACAAGTGTGGTTGGAAGCAGATTTCTGAGTTTTTGGAAAAAACATTGGAGGTGGCAGATGCTGGAAAGGATTCAAAATAAAATAGAAAAGCAGGGGCCTTCGTTATCCGAAGGTAGCCACCTTCAGAAAAACTGTGCCTGCTGCTATTTTATTCCATCAGGTATCTCATGTTAAAAGTATTTTCAGGCAGCGTTAACGACACTAACGAGTAGTTCCTGTGCATGCCCTCTGTATTTATGTCTCGGGATTGATTAACTCTGATTTGGAAAGTAAAACTCTAACTGAAGCTCATCTCGACTCGAAACCCGAGCTGTGGCTCCCTGCCCAGTTCAGGGCGGGCGGCGATGCCGGCCGGGCTCTGGCGGCCAAGGAAGCAGCCGGGAACGGAGCTGCTCGGGGTCCCTCGGCCTTGGGGAAGGGCTCCGGGCAGGTAGGGCTCTGCCTGCTCTGCTGGAGAACGCTGCGGACCCCGGAGTCCCACGGGAGTGATCCTCTGTGTGTGTTAAGTCTAAAATGATCTGTTTTGCTTTCTTACATGTGATCTAGATATGCAGGAACTGTACGGGCTGCTTTGATCGACAGATCCAGTGTGTCTCCCTCAACTGCCCCGTACTTTTCAAGCTCTCCAGAGTAAGCAGAGAACTGTCAAAGGCTCCGTATCTTCGCCAGCTGCTTGACCAGTTTTAAATGATCTGTGTGACAGGATTCCAGGTGCTATTTTTTGGTTTTGGTTTTGTTTTTTTTTCTTGTGTTTACCACACTAAGACTATTGTGCATGGTGCTTTTTCAATTCTCATCTGGTCCAGGATTTCCATTTTAACTGGTGGGTTTATTATCTGAAGAATAATGAACACTTATCCTTACTAAATTAAAAACAAACAAAAACCACACACACAAAAAAAACCAAACCACCTTTGTTGATCTATGAATAGCTCACTTTTTAAGATGTACAAATTTCTTCTTTCTTTCATGTTTCTAACATACTGTTTTATAATGCTGATGTTGAAATAGCTATGTGTAACATCTTGTAAATCCATTTCAAAGTAGAGTCAAGTTTTACTTCCTGGAGGAAGGAGCACTGAAAACCTCTTGAAACGATAAAACCATTCGTGTGTGTTCTTGAACTGTCAGTATCAAGACGTGTTACTTATATATTATCCATTCACTTTATAATTTTGTCTGCGAAATATTTTGTAAATACACTTTTTTACTTTTCAAACAACTGAGTAAAATAATGTGCAATGACTTTTATACAGATAATTTTAAAGTCGGTTGGTATATCTCCTCCTAAGTTTTGCTCGATTCCAAGTAGATTGTTATTTTGATCAGACTGTGCAAGCAGTAGTATCATGTGTAGCATTTTGAAACATTATTTTCTAAAAATTGCTGTCTTGCTTTAGCTATTAATGGGGCATTGTGAGGAACTGTGCAAAGACATTTTTGTTACAAACCTGTGGGACTGTTGCAATACTTTAAATATAAAATTTTATTCCATTTTTGCTTGTTTTGTATAGACATTTCTATTGCTTCTAAATATGCTTAAAATATTTTCTTTCCTTATGTACTGTACAGTTAAATCTTATTTGCCACCATCTTGACAAAAATGTGTATTTAGAATATTTGTATAACTGTATAAAATGGCAAAGGAATTATGTGGTCAGTGCATTGTTTTCTAAACTGGAAATCATTTTGTTTTAGAAGTTAATAATGGAAACCATACTAAAGTTGAATAAAATGATATGGTAAAAATTATATGCTTTTTTAATATATTTACCCTCAATTGCAGACAGGTTTGCTTCCTGTGTTTGGCACACAGATAGCAACGTAAACAAGACTGCTCCAGTAAGCGTTAAGAATCTACAATTCACTTCCCAGCTTAAGCTTTGGGATCGAAAACCTCCGTACCAATTCTTGGAGGCCTTCCCCAAACCAGAACAGAAGCATTTCCAGGTTTCCCTTAGGCCAAAGAGGACTAAGTTAAGTTAAGTTAAGTTGTACATTTAGGAGTCCAGAGTAGCTTTGAAAAACAGAACAAAACTTTATTTACATCTAGGAACCTGAGTGCCTTCTCCAGTTCAGAATTTATTACATTCAAGATACAAGTCAGTCGTTAAATGTCACATTATACAGTACAATGTAAACCCACACCAAGCAGAATAAAAACTATTAAATACATTAAATACAGATTGCGATGTGCTTTTATGCAAAGTAACTAAAAAAACCCCACAACCCACCAAACCATCAAGGCACAGAACTTTGCCTACTCTCGCACTCTGGCACCGCTCAGGTGTAGGATAAAAGTGCAAATAAAAGTGCCAGGACTAACGGGTCAGCGCTTGCCGGACCGTCCAGCATTTGGCAGGGCTCTGGGGATACGTAAGAACATTAACTGACAGGTAACCGCAAGAGGTTACCTTTAACGCTGGAGTAAATGGGCAAATGCTCATCTTCACCCCAGTCCTGGTTTTATGGACAAAAATAGGATTCTTACTAAATTCAGGTATCTAATCCGCAGACCACAGCTCTTGTCCTCAACACAAGAGATGACTGCTGGCATAAGCAAGGCGATGTAAAGTAATACTTCAACTCACAACATCTAAGTTTAAGTGTCTAAGCTTTCTGGAGGATCTGTAACTTAAAGGCACTGTAAATAGATCCACACTTCAACTGTACAGGCCAGGAAGCAACTTACTTTGGAAGGAAATTTAGACATGTGAAAACTTAACATTCATTGTCTAAAAACAAGCCTTGAGGAACACCAGAATCCAAGAACTAGGAAAGCTACAGCCTTGAACATCAAGGACGGCTGGAACTGCCGTGAGCTGGACTCATCACTGGAAATGTCCTCACTCTGGTTTAATCTTAAATTGCTTTAAACATTTCATTTTCAGCGAAGGGCAGCCCCTGCTATTAAAAGCAGGGAGAACATGTTCTGCAAGTACATTCCATTTCAAGTTTGGGGCCAGAACTAAGACACTGAAAGGTCTAAGTGCTCGCTAAGATGACTTTAACGTTTAGACATCATCCAGCCAAGGGCGTCCACGTATCAGTCGGAGGTGATTCTCCGCGATACCATCCAAGATAATTACGCGAGAGCCCCTCTCTCGTCCTGACACTGCTTTTTGGGTCCTTTACTTTTGGCAAAAGGCTGCTCTTGCCTTGCCACTCCAGGCTGTTGCTCCACTCCTACGCCACAGGCCTCCTGCTTTTAAGGGGGAAACGGGGATGAATTAAAGTGATTCACACAGGAATTAATACAGCCAGTTTAAAAAAAAAAACAAACAAACCTTTGTTTTGCACAGTACTTTTACATTTGATGGGAAGACATTAGTCAGAAACACAAGTAAGTGTGTATATCCACACAGTAAGTAGATAAGGGTCAAAGAGGTTACAGCATATTTCCCAACGCGGCTTCAATTTCATTTTCTGGGGTTTTTTTAGTACTTGATTATGCAAGATGTGTAAACCATCCCTGAGAACAATCTTAGGTGCAGGACATTCCAATTTGGAACTTAATTCCAAAAATTAGCTTATGAATTGGGGATTATTTAACATCCTACTGGTTGCCAGGTGTGTTTCTTTACTTTTCTTCTGGCAACATGATCTCAGGCATGGGGAAACTTTATTTTCACATCACCGTCAATCCAGGTGATGCCTCTGGGTCGCAGCTGCGAGTGTGGAGCTGCCACAGACCCCCTGCCCCCTCTGGGGTTGGTTGTCCTGCACCAAACCCCCCCCGCCAAAGGGAACACCCGCAGAATCCACCGGTGGGCTTTCTCCTCCCCATCAGCTACAGCCCCCACGCACACAAAGCCCTCGCTGTAGCCTGCAGGAGGAAAAGGGAAGGGTGAAGAAAAGCCGGTTTCCTCTGCGTGCATGCAAGGACCACGCCATCAGTTACTGCACGACACGAACTAAACACCCAAGCCCAGGCAGATTTACTCCTGGTGATTAAATGCTGTCACCAGTACCTAGCACAGGAGTTGGCCTGATGATATTTAAAAGCATTTAGCATTACTTTAAGCAAAGAAGAGAACCCTTGCGTGTAGCAACTAAGTGAAGCGAGGCTGTATTTCAAAGTGCAGGTTCACGTATTGCACTGGAAAAGATGCCACAGAAGTGCGCAGACAGACAAGGAAAAAAAAAAAAAGGAACTGGGCAAAACCCCAACGGCACTACTGCCGACAGCAGCGGGAGGCCCTTCGCCATGTCAAGAGGCAGAAAAATTCGGCATTTTCACTACAAGTTGATTCCTGCCTCTTACTAACTTCTCAGAAGAAAGGAAAAAGCCACACGATTCTAGGTTGCGTACTCAGAGGACAAGAGCGGGAACAAAAACAAACCTGACAATAAATGAAACATCTAAGGGTTTGTGCTGTGTTACATCTAGAGCTCTTTTGTTAGTAAATGAAACGTCTTAGCAAGAAAAATACTAACAAAAGTGCAAAGTAAAAAAAAAAAATAAATAAGTAAAACCAAACCCAAACATGAGCATATTCTGGTCACCCAGCCTTAAAAAAAAACCATATACTTAACCTAAAAATCTGGAGTTTCAAGTAGACAACGGGGAAGCCTGCTGCTTCAGAGGCAGATTCCACCATCAGCTGCTGCTGCTTTTTGTGCTCGCCCTGGGGCCGGCTGCCAGGGCCGGACCCTGCGAACACAAACAGTGCTGCTCTGCCGGGATGCGCCTGTCTGGAACTCAGCACCCAACGGAACAAACCCCAGATGGCACCAACCCAACCGGCAGGGGCAAGGGACCCTACAGTCCCACCTGGAAGGACCGTCTCATCCAGCATGCCCCCCCGTGCTCCCATTTCCATTTTAACACATCACAACGTGAAAGTCCTGGCATAGAAATTCAGAAAAGTTGTTAGGACCTTAATTTAAACAACTGACTTAAAAATATCACATCCCTGTGTCAATACCATATATTAAGCAATCTGTGATAATACAGTTTTATCATCTTCCTCACACATTTGTTGATTTCAGTGATAGGGCAGTAATTAAAATCACAAGTACTTCAGACTACTTAGATTTGTCACCATTGTTCAGTAAATCAGTTACACACACTAGCAGATTCATATGACGCATTTTGCCCCCCTTCCCACAGACTGCTTTTAAATGACCCAAAGGCATGGTTCCACTCCTAAAAATTAATTTTTAATTTTCTTCTCGTCTTAGTGCCAGAACCAGGAAATTGTATAGTTTGCCAGTAGGTTATCCGATTTACAGCTGCTGGGCATCACCTGAAATTTGACATGATTTCCTGGTTTACATCATACACAAACTCTGAATGCAGCAGAAACATTCCTCTTTCACAAGGTAAGAAATTTCAGCATCACAGATAACAGATGTCTCTCCTCTCTCCTGAAACCATTTTGTGACCAAGCACCTCAGAACTGCACCCTTCACCCACCCCAAAAACCCGAGTGGTCTGAGCAGTCCCCTTCTTTCCTAGTTAGTTCTTATTACAGCATCTATCACTTAAATACATGCCTCACATTTCGAAACCATCTCTTAGGTTTTAACAGTTTTGGTAGAGTCTATACATTTTATCACGTTACCCCATTCGCGTCATCGTGGACTTTCCCACTCCAAGACGCATCGCTGCAGACTGAAAATGAAAGAGGAGGAAGGGCCGGACAAACACAGACAGGGACACACCGAGCTCTGCGCCACTCTAA